TTTTTTTTAAAGATTTTATTTATTTATTTGACAGAGAGAGACACAGCGAGAGAGGGAACACAAGCAGGGGGAGTGGGGGAGGGAGAAGCAGGCTTCCTGCAGAGTAGGGAGCCCGATGCAGGGCTCGATCCCAGGAGCCTGGGATCATGACCTGAGCCGAAGGCAGACACTTAATGACTGAGCCACCCAGGCGCCCCTGTTCTACTTTGATTTAAAAATTTTGATTACCCATTCAATCTCATTATTAGCTATCGGTCTTTCAGACTTTCTACTTTGTATTTCTAGAAATTTGTTCATTTCATCTAGGTTAACCAATTTGTTGTTGGTTTTTCACCTCCCAGAGCAAGTCACATGGTCCAACCCACAATCAAAAGATAAGGAAGCATCCTGGGCTTACCATGACACCATGACAGGAGGGGCTGCATACTATGTAGGTGAGTGAGGAGTTACTGCCACTAATTTACTCTGTTCAACCTTCCTTTTTTTTTTTTTTTTTAATCTGTTCAACTGTCTTATTGCCTGGGAGGCCCTGAATGATCTGACCTTAGGTACTTTTTTTTTTTTAAAGCAATCTCTACCCCATTGTGGGGCTCAAACAAATGACCCCGAGATAAAAGGTGCCCCCCCTTAGGTACTTTTTAAAAAATTTATAATTAACACACAATGGTATATTAGTTTCAGGGGTACAAACATACTGATTTAACAATTCTATACATTATTCAAAGGTTATCCAATTTGTTGTTCATAGTACTCTCTACTTTTTATTTCTGTGGAATTGGTATTACTGTCTCCACATTCATTTCTGATTTTAGTTATTTGAATCTTTTTTTTTTTTTAGATAATTTGCCTAAAGACTTTTCAATTTTTTTTTAAACATGTTTTTAGGGGTGCCTGGGTGGCTCAGTTGGTTAAGCGTCTGCCTTCAGCTCAGGTCATTATCTCCAGGTCCTGGAATTGAGCCCTGCGTGCAACTCCCTCTCAGCAGGGAGTCTGCTTCTCCCTCTCCCTCTATCGCTCCCCCTGCTCATCTCTCTCTCTCTATCTCTCTGTCTCAAATGAATAAATAAAATCTTTAAAATAAATAAATAAACATGTTTTTATTTTTGTATTTTTCTTTTTTTTAAAAAAAGGATTTTATTTATTTGAGAGAG